AACCCCCCCCTTCCCCCCCCCCCCGAAGTGGAGTAATAACCAATATTTCACAATCAAGCCATAATTCCATGAACATTTCATTGGGATAAACTGGATAGGCTTTGTTCAAGGCCATCCACCATGTAAGATTAATCAAGCTCCAGAGTGCTCTATATGCCATTTTTCTCATTCTAAACTATTCTAGCTATTTTTAACTGAAGCTTATGCTGGCTAGATTCCTTCCCCCCCCCGCCCCCCCGCCTCTCTCTACTGTACTCCTGGTTTTTAACAATGAGCAGAAGTTAAACAGAGGGCAAAAGGCTACTTCAAACATTAAACAATTCAGTATAAATATTTTATTAACAATGATAAGACCCTCACAAGTTATGCATGTCATCCAAGTATGTGAGCTTCCTTAGCTAAACAAGGCAAGTATTTTAAGATCTTTTATCCCTGCTACATGATTTCTTTTTTATTAAAAAAAAAAACATCTATCTACCAGGCTAATCTTGACATTAGCTCTTTCCATGAAATCCAGAATCACCTTCTAAATAGAATGTACCCCTACTTTCTTTTTCTCTCCCAGCAGCTTATAAGAGATGTATGGAAACATTCACACCTAAGAGCGTGTACACGTGCACATACACACACACATCCAAGGCACGTGAAACACTTAGAAGTGACTATAGAGCATCATCCACGTCTTTCTTGCCACTGTTTTGGCTACCACAAAAGCTAGCCAACTGAGATCAACTCATGAACTTGGGATTTTTGGCATTTGTGAATCCTCAGCAGTTTTAGATATTCTAAATCCCCGGTTGGGTGGGATTTCATAGGAGTTAGGGTTGTATACTAACTGTACATTAAAAGTGGGGAATGACTTAACCTTTGCCCCCTGGGTTTAGCCAGGAGGAAGAGACCACTAGAGTATTAGTTTTGTTCCCCTGTTATCAACCAGAAGTATCTTATTTTCTCTTCAGTTTTTCTGGCAGGTGTCCCAACATGTATTCATCTTCCTCTTAAAAACGTTGAAATTTCACACTTGAATGATTGCGCAAATCGTGGTGTAACCTTACTAGCTCTTAATAAGTAGGGTCTTCCACCATTTCGTTGTCCTGAAAAACTAGAAGGGCTGGACTGCCGATCCCATGCAGGGCATGCCGTATCATGTTGGGCTTGATAGTGAATATTTCTCACTGTTAATTTTCCTCTGGATTTGTGTTATAAATTACATGCAGTGAGCACATTTTGGGAGATCCTGTGCTTTGCTTGACATGCAATTGCTTAATTCTCTTCTCCTCCGCCCCCCAGATGGAGAAGAGCCAGACAAGTTAATTCATGCCACTTTGAAAAATGGGCACACCATTCCCATTGACTATTCTGGGATCGTCAATCTTGCACACTTGGAAGAAGAAACAGGAAAGAGATTGAGCCTTAAGAAATCCAGTCCCCCAGAGGAGCCAAAGAAGTTGCAGGGTGAGAAATTAAGTTGTGTGTGTGTGTGAGAGAGAGAGAGAGAGAGAAAGAGAGAGGGGGAAGTTGTCTGAGACATAAATGTTGTTATCTGTCACTTCTTAATTGTGAATATAACCAGTTTTGGATCTTGTCTCTGAGGCACTCCCACCCCCAAGTATTTAACAAGCTGTTAACTTCGAAAGGCCTGGCCCTGCCCAGTTTATCTCTTTCCATCTCTCCACTTACCAAACTTCATGTCTCCTTCCACCCACGTGTTGCAAGTGAATGCCAGCCTTGGAGTTTGGGAAATGGCACAAGCCTTCAGACTTTCTTTTAGATTGGAGAAATAAATTAATTTCTAAGACTCTCCAGACATGCTCCCCTCCCTTCTCCTCTCCCTTTCAGTTGCAGGACCGTGGTTTAATGCAGTCTTTAGGTTGTATGGCAACTTCTAGAATTCCCAGCCCGCATACTGTCAGCCTTTTGAGGTAGTCCAGACTAGAAACGCAAACCATGAGTACTAACTCTATCTTTATTGTAAGGCTAAGTTAACAGAACCTCGCAAGATTGAAAGTATTTCTCCCCTCCTCTCCTTTGACTCTCTGGAAAACCCGGGAAGATCCCTTCTGAGACGCTTCCCACACCTCTTTTCCTTCTGTGGGCTGAGATACCTTTTGCATGACGGTTGTCTAGGCTGTGGCTCTTCCTCCTGTCTACTAAGCTCATTGCCACTTACCATTACACATAGGCAGTGGATGTATTGGCTTGGAATGACCTAGGGCTATGCTGTTATGGGGAAGGGAAGGTTGGCTTGAACCATATCTGGAATCTTTGGAATAGGGCTCTTAGGAGGTTGAACATGGAAATGGAGGATGGGAGGTGTGGAAATGTACAATTGAATAGATATACCCTGATAAGAAATGACCTTTTCTAGCTCATGGGGTTAATCTTTTTTAAATGTTTCTTCACAGGACCTTTCAGTAATCACCCCAGTTCAGAAATGGAGCCCCATCCTGAGCCCCCTGCTCCCAAGCAGCCGTTGCTTCCTCCGAAACGACCGTTGTCGTCCTCCTCGCAGGAGACGAGTGATCTGCAAACAAGGGAACTTGGCCTTGGCAACAGTGCAAGGACTGTGTCTTCTTCTGCAGCTGCAGCTGCCCCCAGCACAACAAAAGGGGGCACTTTGTCCACTGCTCCTACCCCTGCCCCCCGGACTCTGCCCCCTGCTTCCACAAGTGGTCATGCTTCGGCCGCAAACACTAGCAATGCCACACCGACCAAACACCCCCCCGTTCCACCTCCCAAGCCTGTTAATAGGAATAGCAACCCCTTAATAGGTAAGTGGCAACTTTTTACACCCTGAGTAAGATCCCTCTTTAATTTTGATTTGCTGACATTTGATTTCTCTTATCTCCCAAGACACACACACTTTTTTTCCATGGTGCTGTTTTGAATTTCTGTGTCATGGCTGTTGGTGCATAAGGTGCCCCCTCTGTTCCAACTTGGTAAAAAAGCTACATCATGTTTGAATACAAATATCAATCCGCTTTCCTTTTACAATGTTTATAACAGTTTAAAATCTTAGTATTGTACAATAGATTATATTACAGATGGACCCGGAGAATTTGAAAGACATTCTTGATGCTCCTTGTAGAAATGTGCAACGTTTTTCAGTGTCTTTTGCTCCGACTGGTGCCCAAGTGTAGGTCCCTTCCAAGGTGTAGACTGCAACTGTTTTCTTAGATGCGTATCTCAGAAGGAGTCAGGTAGCACCTTTTTGATTAACAAATTTTAATAAAAGGTGTAAGCTTTTATCAGATGCAGAGAGTGGCTAGACTGAAGTAGAATTTAAATTGGAAGGAGGTTGGGGGGAAGGGAGGGGAAGATAGGTTGGTTATGCAGATGCTGGTTACATGTGAGACCGATTAACAGTACCTTATTAATTAAGAATTGTAATGCATTAAAAACCCATTGTGTTTGTTGAGACCTTTTGATGTATGTGAGTTCAACTCTTTCTCACTTGATGGCACTGTTAAAGTCCCATTTTTCCAAAGCAGTCACTTTGGGGCCTGCTATGGATTGTTCTGAGAGATTGAAATGCTCTCGTACTTCTTTGTCCTTGAATCCTGATGTCTAACTTGTATCTGTTAATTCTGTTGTGCCAAGTGTGTATGTTTGAGGCGTGTGTTTCGGTTGCCCCTTCACTAGATGCACCAATTATTGTTATGCCGAACTACAGGAAATGATTCTTATCTTTCTTTTGTCTGCTTATTACCCATCTGGACTCGGTTGTGCCCACACTGGATCATTCACTCTTCTGAATAGAGCTGGTGCGCATTTATGTTCTTCTGCATCATGAGTCATACCCACCTCTTTTCTGGCTAGACATCCTGAACTTCCTTTTCTTTCTCCTACGTATACCTCAGTTCTAAATATTTTGAGAGATTTTTCCAAAACCAGGTTTAACAAAGCATGAAAATCAATACTCTGTAGCACATTTAGTGGTCTATAGTGGAAACAGGTTTCTCAGTGTGTGTTACACAGAGGTGTATGTGTGTGTGCATTCATGCATGCATGCGTGCAACAATGGCTCTACACATTGCACAAATCATAATGTAGTTTGTTTGGCTTTAGCTCAGAGTGTTGTTTGAACCAAACCACTGTGATTTGTAAACCACAGTTTATGACTTGGTAAATCATGGAAACCCAGCCTATTTTGTTTTTTCCACAAACGGTGGTTGAGCAAAACCAGTCAACGTGACCTAAAAAGGAATACGCTTTTCAGTAGATGGGCTTGCTCATTGCTCTCTGGGGTCATGAATTTCTTTAACTGGATAGTATGGCTCTCTATGAGACCTCCTCCCAAATCATGCATGGATATGCTGTATAATAGACTGTGGATATTTATTTATATATTGTATTTCTATCTCACCTTTTCTCTTAAGCCAATGAATGCAGGGATCTCCCTCAATTTTAGCCTACAACAGCTGTAAATCAGGCTGTGAGTGACTGCTTTGAAGTCATCCATTGCACTCTGTGACTGAGCAGGGACTCGAACCAGAGTCTCCCTAGTCCAAGTCCAGCCCCTTAACCCAGTTGTTCCTCAATCTCAGCAACTTTAAGATAAGTGGACTTCAACTCCCAGAATTCCTCAGCCAACTGGTTGGGGAATTCAGGGAGTTAAAAGTCTACTACACATCTTAAAGTTGCTGAGATTGAGAAACTCTGCCTTAATCTCTCCATTTGGTCCTAGAACAAGAGGGCTTTAGGTGTGACAGTCTTCTTGTTGAGACTTTTACAACCTTGAGTCACAGCAGGAAACAAAAAATCCAAAAATTCATCATAACAATTTAAAAAAACGATTAAAACTTCAAGTTCCGTCAGTAAAGTCACTATGACATGAAGAGCAAGTAGCACATTTTTTTTCTGCAATGTCAACCTTCCCTTCAAGAGCTGAAATTAAAAACGGGGTCCATACTGTGAAGGGGAATGAATAAAGTAATAAGATAAATAATGATGTAGCTTTTCAACTGAAGTTCTACCTCTTGGGTAGAGTATGTAGGACACATTTGTGGGGCTCATCCAGCATGTCCAGAGGGCTACCCGTGGGACTTCCAGCTATTTTCACCTTTTGTTGCTGGCCAGTTTTTTGAAGTAAAGTGTGTTGACAGTTGCTTCTTGAAGCTGGACACAGAAATGAAGATGTAAGATGGAGAAATGTATTGAATTAATAGCCAAGATCTATTCTGGTAAAAATAGAATGGCTGACAATTAGATAAACTTCTAAAGACAAGCCTGGCCTGTCTTAAGGGCAGAGAAGTTGAACTCCAGGCTACGTCTTCAAGAGCTTAGGGATAACCTTCCAGAGCACAGCCCGCTGATGCCCAAGGTCCATGCTGTGTGATCCATCCAGGTCTCACCTCTCTGTTCCCTAAGTCCCAAGTTCTACATCATCCATTGTTGTACAATGTCACCAGTTTCTAAAATTATTCTGTGTCCTCATTATGTTGATTACTTCCTCAGCACCTGTATATATTAGCTATACAATATGGGGTTTAATTTATGCTAAGCAATTTGTTGGCTAAGTTTATTTTGTAACCTAGTCTTCCCTACCCTGGGTGGAGCCCGGGGAGATCCAGGTTGCAGAACTCTGTACGCAAAGACAGGGAGGAAGCCCTGCAACGTTCTGAGATCATGCTGCTGAACTCTGGTGGAATTTTGGTAGGATGACCTTCGGGCCTTTTTGTTTCAGTTGTTTTACAAAACCTGAAGACCTCCCCAATTTTTGCTGCCCTGCTCCCCAAATGTAACTTTTTGTGCTGGTTTCAGGCTATTATAAGGGTAGGGGCAAAAGGAGAAATGGGAGTGGTTTGCCTTCCAAATATGGGCTTCTGTGATTTCCACCCTTAATGTTGTAAAAAGGAAGGAAGGAAGAAAGAAAAATCATGCTAATGGGGTCATAATAGTTGACCTGCTCCTTCCCAGTGATGTCCTCATGTCAGTTAATGGCTTCCTGTGCCCCTTTGGAAAGTTCAAAATCATGGGCCCCAAGCCCTCAAACATTCCCACTGCTGCTCTAAGAATTATGTAAACAGATTTGCTATGCCCTGAAGCTGTGTATTTATTTTGGCCATCAAGGGCACTTGAGAGAAGCTGAAATCTTGACCTGTTTCAGAATCAGTGGCATCTGTAACAAGCCATGGTGGTATCCAAATGACCACACCATGCAAAGGATGCAACTTAACACTCATGACATATCTGACACAAATACTTAAATTGCATCATTTGCCTCATGATGCACATGTTGTCACTTGCTCCCTGTTGTCCCCCCAAGATGCCCATGATCAGAATATGCTGCACATGTGAAAAACATTTCCCTGTTATATTAATGTGCTACGGTTCTTCAACTGCGTCCATCAGATAGTCCAAGTGCACTGATCAAAATGTGGTATGCGAAATAAGATCCCTTGCTTCTGAGTACAGATTTGTTCAGTTCTAGCCTGTTATTTTCTTCTGTTGATTTTCAGTATATATATATATATATATATATAGCCAGACTGTCAGGTTGCTGGTAGGTTTAATTGTACCAAAGTCATGCCCTGAAATCGCCCTGGAGAACGTGCAGTTCAGGAAGAAGGCATTGGTTACATGGGCAGTCTCCATTTCATTCAATTGCTTGCCATGTAAAACGTCTGTTAGAGCTACCAGCTAATGAAGTTTCAGTGAGAGTGTCTCTGTAACTAGCTATTCACCTGGGCTGGTTGGAAATAGGACCCCAGTGGGGAGGGGCGAGAATGAAACCAGCAGGTAGCTAGCATGGTTTAGGGAAGGGCTTTGCAATACCTGTGGTTTGAGGGTGTGGAGAGAAAGAAGAGTGACATGTAAGCTGATCTTGCAGATCTACACCTGTTCCTGCTCACCTGCTAAGAATTCATTGTGGAAGTGGAGGGTGGAGGGTGATGTTGCAATTCAGCTCCGCACGCACGTGGGACTTTTGTTTCTGACACACAAGGCAGCGACCACAAAAACTTGTACACTTGTCTAACCTGCAGAGCTTTATTACATTAGATTTCTTATGGCAGTGTTGTCCAAACTTGGCCACTTTAAGATGAGTGGACTTCAACTCCCAGAATTCCCCAGCCAGTCATTCTGGGAGTTGAAGTC